TCTGTCCTCTAGGGGCGCTGTGAGTCAGAATCTACTCCATGGCAGTGGGTGTGGTTTGGGCTTTGCGTCCATAAAGACTGACAGCCTTGGAACCCTATCTTTGTCTTGTAGGGTCACTAAGAGTAGGATTTGATTCTATAGCAGTGGGTTTGGGTTTTTTTTTGGGGGGGGTGGTTTATACATGTATTTTTAAGAACTTGCTTCCTTTCCCCTTTTCAATGTTATCAGTGCCTTTTTCTAATCTTTTAAATTAATGAATGGCATTCCTGACACTTAGATTGTCTACAGTTTTTTGCTATTACAAACAATGCTGTGCGAGACAACCTGTGTTTAGTCTTTGTGCACACGTGCAAGTATCTTAGTCGGCCAGAGGCCTGGCAGGGGGTCAAAGGTATGCACACTCAATGTTGTGTTAAGCTCCACTTGTAGTCTTTCTTAAGCACACACCATTTAAAAATAATTACCAGATAAACTCCAGGAGACTCCCAGTGGCGTTGGGGTTGGCTGGCAATAAATGGTCAACAAGTATTTGTTGGCTAAGTCAATACCACGCCATGACTACCCTGGCTCATTGCAGACGTGGCTGTCAGGGCCCAAAGGTTAAGGATTTTGGCCCAGGGCACTTTGAAAGAACTTCTGACTCCTGACCTTTGCTTGACATTCCAACTTTTCTGCCTTTTTCTATTTCTCCCTGAAACAGATGGCCAGCCAGATTAAGCAAGAAAGAGGAATGGAAGTGGTGTTTTAGGAATCTGACATAGCGGGTGATTTGGCAAGCTTGCCTTCTATGCTGATGGCTTTAAAAAAAAAAAAAAAGTATGCATTGATAAGGATATTAGGCATATTATCTCCACAAAACATAAAATAGATTATCTGAGCCTTCAGGAAAAAAAATCTCAGTCCCCTCTCAAACTCATCAGTCTTCCCAAAGATTTCTGTTCCTTAAGCATAAAGAAAATCCATGCTCCGGCACTCAGATTGTACCATGAGAGACGGGGCCACATGAGTCATCTGGGGCCCACAGTAGACCCCATGGCCATCAGACTTGCCCCTCCTGGAGACAGGGGGCGTGGCAGTGAGCAGAGAAGCAGCAGTCCCCGAGGAAGCAGAAGGTTCCAGACTGAGTTTTGGATTATCTCTAGGTTGGGTCCTGGATTGCCTCCACAAAGCAGGCCAGGGTCGTCATTAGGACTTTGGAGCAACAAGCTGTGCCCAGCCCCTTCCTTTGTGGCACTGTGATGTCGTGGAAAGAGTGCTGGACTCAAAGCTGGAAGACTTGCCTCAAACCCTTACTCTTGTACTTAGGAGTCGTGTGGCCTTTGCAGCCGCTGTTTAACCTGTCAGGGCCGTGTTTCCTCATCCGCAGACTGGGCATGATCATCTCTCTACCTCACAAAGATGTTGAGAGAAAATAAGCGAAATGGCCTTTTCATGTGGTTCAGTCTGGTGTATTAAAAGCATCCAGCCTGGCACTTCCTCACATGGAAGACATCTTGATGCCTCTTCTCTTCAGAATGTGGTTGGGGGAGGGGAAGGTTCCTTTCAGGGGAGAACCTTCCAGTTCTCTGTGGAGTGTTTTCAGAGCCCTTCTGATCAATACAGCCTTTTGAGGTGGAAAATAGTATCAGGTGAGGTTTGTGAGGTGGGGGCGCCAGTTCCGGAAGGAGATGAAGAGCTTTGACGTCTCCCTCTGGGAACAGTACTTTCTCCTGGAGTCTGTGTGGAGGACCTGCCTAGTGGGACTCAGCTCTCCAGGCCTCAGAATCTCTGGCTGCATCTTGGGGACTCTGAAGAGCTGAAAACTGCCCTTTGGGGTTTCTGTTCTGTTTCCTTTTGGTTTTGGAACCTTCAGACAAGTTGAAGTAATAGGAAAATTCCATCACAGATGAAGAAGTGAAGTATCTTCTACGCTTTCTGGGACATAGGAGTGCCCAGAGTGGTAGCATCTCTCAACACTAGAAAGGGTTTTATAATTTTTAAAGGGGAAATCTTTTATGTTTGGGGCTTGACAATGTATAGCAGTTTAGACTTCCGATCAACGTCATGGGTCTAGCATCACTTCATAGCTAGGTCCAGCCCACACTAAGCCTTTGAGATCTGTCATGTGCTGCTGAGTTTCCGTTACAGCGTCACAGTAGATCATTCCGAAGTTTCAATAGACTTACGTCACTGGTAATGTAGACTTTGAGATGTGAGGGGAGAAGTACCTTTGAGGTGGTAGAGATCACTTCCTCCAGGACAATGCTGGATTGTTCCATTTACAAGGCTTATTCTGAGCCAGGCTGGCCTAAGCTAAACCTCCTGAAGCAAAAGGGTTTCTAGCAGTCGAAGAAAGTTACGTGGCTGGAGCAGAAAATAGCTGGTGTCTGTTCCTGGGCCACAGCCAATTTGCACGAACATTTAGGGAATGCAAAGAGGTGATGGATCAGTTGAAAGTGAACTACGGCAGACATACCTTTCAGCATTTTCACAGCCACCGTCCGGCATGTGGGTGACTTCTTAATGCCAAATGCAGAAGCTTGGACCACTTTTCCAAAAGCCCCTCGTCCCAATGATTTACCTAAAATGAGGAGAAGACAGTGGTTTATATGCCAAGCCGTCAGGATGAGTTTAAGCCTTAAATGTAGTGATACCACCTCGGAAACCCAAGGAGGGGTTGCTATGAGTCAGATCTGACTCGATGGCAGTGAGTATATGAGTATGTGGGGCATACAGTTTGAGTGGAATTTCTAGTGAGCTGACCCCAAAGAGTCAAAGTCAGGGACGTGTTTCTAGGGTCTCTTCCTTCCAACTCTACTGTGTTTATGAGGTCCTCCCATCCTTCACAGGTAGGATAGCTCCCCAAAAGCATTTGATGTAGGTATAGGGCCAGTTTCCTCTTCATAAAGTTTTCTGCCAATTCCTAGGTGGACTCTTCCATCGTTTAATAATATTATTACCAAGGCTGTGTTTAATCTACCCCCCTTTCCTTGCTACTGAAGGTCATTTCTTGTGATCTGTTTCCAGCAAAGAAGGGGAAACCGACAACAGTGGTTAGTACAGTTGGTTACGATAATCCTTCATAGCTGAAAAATCATCACTAAATCATTTCCTTCCTTGCCAGGGAAAATATTCCCAGTCTTTCTAACATCTCTTGACATCACTATTGTGAGACTATGAACTACTGGTAGTGATTCATTTTAGGCCGCAGAGAGGTAGTTGCCAAATGCAACAACCGTGCAAGGTTTCTTTCATGGTCCCTGGAAACCACGGTGCGTTATGTTTTGCATATCTCTTTCCCCAACCTTTTATGAGACAAGTTGACTGAGGGCAAGAACCATGTCTTGTCTCCCTAGTAGCTAGCCCAGTGCCTGGCATACAGAAAGTCCCCCTTACATTAGTGCAGAATGAAGAGCATTTGGGAATTTACGGGATGTCCAAAGACAGCCTCATACAGTTGTGGGTAACTAGAAGGGGGACTGGGGTACTAGGACTTTGAGATTGATGCCCTTTGGGCAGCACATCCCCTGGGATACTTCAGCTACTTTTTCCATCAGGGGACTTCCTTTCGTACCATCAGGAAACAGGAAGCTAAGTAGAACCCAGGGGAACAGTGCACCTTGAGCCTAAAACAAAAGGAAGAGTGAGCCAAGGAAGTCATTCTTTTTGGTTCTTCCGGGGTAGGGGCCGGGATACCAAACCGAATCAAACCAAACACACCACTGATCAAAAGTAAATCTCAGGAGTTAGAGTGCTAATTGAAGGCAACCCCTCCTCTCCTGACCAAATCCTCTTTCTCAAACTGGGCTTTCAGTTAATGAATCTAACTTCCTTCCTTCCTTCCTCATGCTCCAATCTCTCTCCCCAAAGGGCATAGCTGGGTTTTTTTTTTAAGTTTCTTGTAAAGTTGGTAATAAAGCTTTCCGCTTCATCATATGAGAACCTTTATACTCAACTGCTCAGTACAAAGGAGCCTCAATGGCACAGTGGTCAAGCACTTGGCTACTAGCTGAAAGGTGAGCAGTTTGAACACACCAGCCACCCTGCAGGAGAAAGATGAGGCGGTCTGCTTTCGTGAAGATTACGGTCTTGGAAACCCTACGGGGCAGTTCTACTCTGTCCTACAGGCCACTGTAAGTCGGAATTGACTCAACGGCAGTGGGTTTGCAGGACTCAGTAAAGGTACTATCTTCACCCCTGCCTCTGTTTAATACCTTCCACTAACAACCACCCAGACGTGGGGTTAGATCTTGAGGATGGTTAAATGACCAACATACTCATAGGAAGTAGTCTTTCTATTGCTCTGTCTTTGCATTTACAGGTTGTTGTTATGTGCCGTCGAGTCATACCTGACTCATAGCGACCCCTCCTTGGGTTTCTGAGGCAGTATCACTACGGAAGTAGGATTGCCCAACCTTCCTTCCGAGGAGTGGCTGGTGGGTTTGAACCGCCAGCTGTCTGGTTAGCAGGCAAGTGTCTTAGCCACTATGCTACCAGAGCTCCAGTCCCTGGATTATGGATGAGTTCTTTTCCTAGGTCTGTCTGTAAGTGGAATTTGTATGTAAGTCAGAATAGTTAGATATGATTCATATCTAACATCAGTTAGTCCAATGTCTTAGTACACAGTGTATAATGCACCTTTCTGTGCATAAAAAAACATCAAAGAAACACTTCTAGATACACCAAAACTTCTTTACCATAATAATGCTGTAATAATAACAGTGTTTGGACATGTGCTGCAAAGTAGTGCCCGTTTATTATTATGAACAGTTGTAATTTTTAATAGAATAGGCTTTATGGGGGATTGGTTCATAACTATGGGTTGTACGTTAGTCAGTTCGTAACCTGGGGACTGCCTACCGTTCATAGGGACACACTCTGCATTAGGAGGGAAATGCTGGTGAAAGGACACGTTTTCTTCTCTGGGGAAGCATGCACCCATGGTGACTAATAAAGACCACTGCTCCCAGACCATGCAACATGGGAAGGAGTATTGTCTCTGCTTTCTTCTTCAAGTCAAATTGTCCAAGAAATAGACCCGAATTGATGACTCTTAGGTTTAAATAAAGTCTCGGGTGGAAGCCACAAGTGCTGGATGTGGAAATCGGGCCTGGGATACACTGGGAGGGGCTGTCTCCAGATTTGTGAAGATCGGTACATTTTGGTTGGAGGTTTATTCTTTGCATTTGTTTAAGGGTAAAAGAAGAATTTTTTTTTTTTTTTTTTGGCAATGCTTTCTCCCATCTAGCATGGACGTGTCCTGAGCCTGAAAAATAGCAAAATAATCTCTATCTTGAGACCCCTCTCCACACACTCCAAGGACTTCTGCTTGTCCAGAGCAGGCAGAATTCTTTTCCAGTCCACAACTTCAGCCCCCACGCAAGCACTCCCTTCTCAGCCAGCACAACAAACTCTGTTTTAACAAGTGTTTGGAGACTTTGCTTCCGTCGGTGTGAATAAGCCGGTTCCCCCTTGGCTTCCTTCAGTCTTTGCACTCACTCTGTTGGAAGCAGACTGTAGCCTCATGAAACAGCATGCAGCTATTATGGGCTCTTTAATCGCGGGATGCCTTCAGCAGACCCAGGGTTCCAGTTTTAGGGGAGCCCAGTCACACTGGACTTGACCTCACCTGATCCCTTAAAATCCTCTTGGGTGTTGCCTAGAATGCCACTCACTAGCTCAGCCATGGGCCAGGTCGTTGTCATACAATGGAAGGATATTGGAACCGCCTCCAAGAATATCCGTGACTGGCCAGGGTCCCTAGGGCACTCTGGGGAGAGTGTGTGGCTGGTCTTTCAAGAGGTACCACCAGCCCGCACTAACCACTTGCCAATTTGACTCCCTTCTGTTATTCCCCATATTAAGTAATTCTGACTTTAACTCCTTTTTCAGTAGAGTGATGCAATGTGAGACCTTCTCCCATCTTCTAAGATAAATTTATAGGAGCTGAATTCTCTCCTAGGGTGAGTGAAGAATCACTAACAAAACAGGTTTCTTTTGTCCTGGATCTCAGGAATTCCGACGGTAGCAACACCTCTGACCCACACTGCAACCAGAGTCACCTATCAGGCACTATTAAATTCTGACTTCCTCTCTCAGGGCTGCTAACAGCAACCAAGAAAATAGATACAGTTGGAACCAAATGCAGCTTGGTCTGTGTTTCTTTACATTTACAATCTCATTATAATACTGACATCGTTCTCCCCACCGATCCATGCCTAATCTTGGCTACTTTCACTTGGCAGACATTTTAAATTACTTTCTGTCACTTATTTGGTCTAAAAAAACAAAAGCAAACCAACAACACCAGTTCTTAGGCCTCCCTGCTCCCATGTTAGTCAGACGAGCCTGCCTCTGGCCCTTGCATGCACACCCAGCATTGAAAGCCAAAGTTAGCAGACTTGATACACTGTCTCCCACCCATCAAAGACTTCAAGAGGACACGGGTCACATCATAGAATCTGCAACTCCGGGACAGAGAAGAATGATAAGAACGCTTTTCAACAAGGAGAACCTTGTGAGATGAGATTATCTGATCCCATGGGGCCCTGGGCGAGTTCTGGTGTGAGGTTTGTGCTGTGGATCACAGTGACACTAGGCCAAGGACTGAGGGGTAGGATGGAAAGCTCTGGTGTCCTGTACTGGAAGACGCATGTTTGATTGTGACTAATAACTCTGAAAAGCCTGAGAATGGCTTATGGTTGTGGGAAAATGATCCCATGTTCTCTGCCAAGGTCACCGAGGGGCTGGCAGGTCGCCAGACAATTATACTTGCAGAAGGAACTTACTCAGCGTGCCACCTGCCTTCACTACTATACATGTAGTTGATTTCCGCCCTCCCCTGCCCCTGCCAATCAGCAGCCATTGCTGGCTTTCACCTGTCTCCCTGGCTTTATACTGATTTCCAATATTCCTTCACCAGCCAGACAGAACAGACTCTTGGGGCCAGCTCTTTCTCATGTAGTGTCAGTCAGATCACGTCAAGGCCCAAGAGAGAAGCAAACTCATTCCTCCGTCTTTGCCCTCTCCACAGCCTCAACCAGTCTAATGTGTGCATGTGTATTGGGGGGGGGGGCCACAGGGGACAAGGAATGCCACGGAATTTACAATTAGATTATACTTATTTCCCCCCTTTTGATCAAGATTCTTCTATAGAATCTTTCATCGAAGGGCTCGTCACACTGAGAGTGACAAGCTTCAGAAGCATGAGCGTCACAATCTGTTTTCCTGGTTCCAGCTACTAATGACTCTGGCATACACAGTCGGGAGTGGAAAACTTTCAGGAGCCACAATCCAAATATTTTGGGCAGAGGTAATCGGGGCCCCAATTGTTCTCCAGTACCACGGGCTGGAGATGAATTTGTATTGTGACGTCTGAGCTGGAGGAACTGGGGTAACCTGAGGGAAAGCACATTTGCCTGGTGTTTATAACATCTACCTCACCTGGGAAAAAACAACAATCCTTACTTTTCAGAATCAAAATTTAAATGACTCCCCTGGGGTTTTCTTCTTTGTCTGGCCATTCAAACACCCGGGGAAACTCGAGAGTAAGTCATTTGTGTATTTACACAGAGGGAGTGGCTTGGTTTCTAATTTTTTGAAATTTTGGAGATGGTTTACACAGCCCAAAGTACACTATACCAACAATTTCTACTTGTAAACATTTTGCTGACACTGGTTACATTCAAGTGGTGCTACCACCCTCACTACCATTTTCCATATTCTTCCACCACCATTATCTTGAACTCACTGCCCCTAAGCTTCTCATCCAAGTATTTGAGTTGCTGTCATCAATTTGACCTCACATAGCTCATTCTTTAAAAGAGCTCAATGCCCACAGCAGACGTATTTACAGATTCAGACAAGCTGTTTTTTGGTCTAAAGAAGCCTTCAGGGGATAGTTTTGGTTTAAAGTTTTAAAACTATCTCAGGGTAATAGTTTCGGGGACTCATCCAGCCTCAATGGCTCCAGAAAGTGGATTCCATTGAAAATTTGAAATTATATTACTTATTTTCCCCCCTTTTGATCAAGATTCTTCTGTAGAATCTTTGATCGAAATGTTCAGTAATAGCAGCTGAGCACCATCCAGTTCTACTGGTCTCCTGGCAAAGGCGGCAGTTGTTCATGGAGGCATTCAGACTGTCTAGTACATGTTTTGATCCACAGCCTTTTTTTTTCCTTTGCCCATTTTTTTTTTTTAATTTTTATTGTGATTTGAGTAAAAGTTTACAGAGCAAATTCACTTTCCATATAGCAGCTCATATACTTTGTTTCATGACATTGACTGCAATTTCTCACAGTGCAACAGCTCCCCTCCCACTTCCTCCCCATAGTTACCTCTTCCCTGTGTCCTTCCCTCCATACACTCCTGCCCCCCGAGCTGTCTCTCTGTGCATACACAGCCCTTCTATTCTCCCATGATTGTTCTCTCTAAGGAGTGTATCTACCTCAGGTCAATGTTCAGCTCATATGCCTGTCTTTTGTTTGGCTGGAAGCCACAGGTGTGGGTTCAATTCCAGACCTGAAGGGCAGCTAGGGGCCATGGTCTCAGGGATTCCATCAGGCTCCATCAGACCAGCAAAATTGGTCCCTTTTTTTTTTTTTTAAATGATTTTGAGTTTTGTTCCACATTGCTCTGCTACTCTATCCAGGCTGATCCACAGCCTTGATTGACAAGCGCCCACTCTCCCACCACGAGAGATGGTCTACCATTCTGAATCACGTTCTGGGTCACACAGATGTCTAACGCCTCAGAGATTTCATTCTGTAAGAGGACCTAGATCTGTAAGCCTCCTGCCTAGAACTAATCCCTCTCCCCGCCTTTTCCCATATCTACCATCTCTTTCACCAGATGAGACTTTGAGGAAAGGGACCCAAACCCCTTTGGATCCCCAGGGCTTACACGAGTGTCTGCTCAGAGAAGGTGCCCGTAACTGCTGAGTGACAAGCAGGTATTTCCCTGCCTCGTTGTGTCGTGTCTGCAGCCTATCAGAAGCATTTACCCACCTGTCCTTCTCTCTTGCTAGTCTGTGAGCACCTGGGGGATTGAACCCACGGTCTAGTTGACTCAGCATCCCTCAAAGCCCAGTGAATGCACACGGAGTAGGCGCTCAGTATAGGAGCTCTGGTAGCATAGTGCCTAAGGCACTTACTTGACTGCTAACCAGAAGGCTGGCGGTTCAAACCCACCAGCCACTCCTCGAAAGAAAGATGAGGCAATCTACTTCCACAGTGATAGCCTAGCCTCGGAAACCCAAGGAGGGGTCGCTATGAGTTGGGTCCAACTCGATGGCAAATAACAACAACAGGGGCTCAGTGTAGGCTTAATGAACCTGCTCAACAAATACATTACCTAGTTTCAGTCTCTCCCGGGCGAACTCCCACTTGCTGGCATCGTATGGGAGACGCTCGCACTGTTCATCCAGAGGGACTTCATCGGGCTCCATTATAATTGATAAATAGTCAGTCTTTATTTCAGAAGAAGCCTAGGAAAGAAAGAGATCTTGAAGCCACCACCAGGACAAGCTTTGAAACACCGGATATGCAATTTAAAACAATGCTGGCAACATCTGCTTTGTGTCATCGGGTTGACACTGTGTGGTCAGGTACAGAAAGTACCCCTCCACATATAAACACACGTGTCACGCTCGGGCATGCGATTCCCATTAAACTGCTCCGTACTATTCCCACATTTGTGTGGGACTAGCCCCGCCTTCTATTGCAGATAAAATGCACCCCCAACTCTCCAGTGACATCCTTGTTCTTAAACAATGATCCTATGACAGCCTTTCTCTGAAAAAACGCAGAGCATTTTTACAGAATCATTTCAAGCAGTGACTAAAAATAGCTACCCATGACCGTTCTGTACAAGTAGTAATATACATAACAGATGGGCCCCCGCGGCCCGGGGTTGGACCTTTTTTCTCCATTCACAAGAAAGGTCAGACATGACCAAGTCGATGCAGGATTCTGGGCAGAGTGTGAGGCAGAGTTTGTAGGAAGGGTTTAAACTCATTTGAAAGGTCTGACCTCTTGGTTACTGTGGCTACCTGGACAGACAGTAAGGCCCATGGTAAGGTGAGAGTAAGATGTACCTTCAGTAAGAAACTCAAGTTGATTCTTTTCAAAGGCCAAGGAGTAAATATGGTACAAGACTCCCACAACGGCCACATTCGGGGTTTGCTTGGCCATTGATGCCATAGCAAATGAGTGAGGTGGGCACCTGCTTGGAGCTCTTGCTTTATCTTGTAATCCAAACCAAGTGTGGAAAATATCCTTTATTTCAGATCCCATCAAACTGGATATACATTTAGTGTTTCAGATTCTTATCAATGGGCGTCTTGCCTGTTAATTAAACGTTCAGTTGTTGACTGCATTTCGGTGGGCAGAATGTTGGCCTAACACAAAGGACGCACCCTTGCCGGTGTTCGGTGGGTTTGCCCAGCTCTGTGTATGAGTTTTGTTCACTTCATCTCAGGGGCTCTTGGGACTCTGCCCTGTGGTGCCTTCCCCTGAGCAGGTCAGAGTTTGTGTAAAGACAGCCTTTCCAAAGACATCGTCTCACATCCACCCGCATTCCTCGGTCCTTAGCACCCTTTCTGGGCTGTCACAGCTCACCTCATCCATCACTTGCAATCGTTCCCCTTCACACAAAAATTATCACTAAAATGTGTGACAAACAGCTCCAGGCGGAAAGGCTTGCCTGGCCTCCACAGAGGGTGGAAACTGGGAAAAATGTGGGGCACGTTTGTCACGAACCACTTTTGGTATTGGTGTGGGACTGGAAGAGCGTACTCTGTCAGACGCTCATGAGTGTAAGGCTGTCTAGCAAACCCAAGCCAACCCACGGCCACCAAGTCAATTCTGACTCATAGCAACCCTACAGGACAGAGCCAAAGTGCCCTGTAGGGTTTCCAAGGCTGTCGATCTTTATAGAAGCAGACTGCCTCATCTTACTGGTGAGTTTCGAACTGGCAACCTTTTGGTTAGCAGCTGAATCCTTTAAGCACTGTGCTACAAGTTCCTTGTAAGGCTGTATAAAAAAAAAAAAAAAAAAAAAAACCTCACTGCCATTGAGTCGGATCCGACTCCTCCTTGGGTTTCTGAGGCAGTATCATTATGGAAGTAGATTGCCCAACCTTCCTTCCGAGGAGTGGCTGGTGGGTTTGAACGGCCAGGCTTCTGGTTAGCAGACAAGTGCCTTAGGCACTGTGCCACCAGAGCTCCTGTAAGGCTGTGTAGGAGCATGGATTCCTGTAACAAGCTGCTGGACTCGGTTTTATGACTAAACTCTTCAACGTCCAATATAGTCAAGGCCACACAAAACAAACTCCAGTCCTCAAAGGGTCTAGGATAGCTGAAGCCTAGCAAGGGACAGCTTGGTCTTCTGTAGGGTATGTGGGATCTTGGCAGTGCTGTTGATGGGGACACGAGGGGGGCTGCAGTGGAGGACAGTCTCCCCAGGAAGTACCTTTACGGTTTATCTCAAATCAGAGTGGGCACCCCTGAAACGTTAAGTAAGGGCTTTGAGGAGAGGATAGGAGAACCTTAGTTGGCAAATATTTATTCTTGCCACTGACACTAACACTGAGCAGCTACTAGACACCTGGCCTGCAGGCTGCACTGTGAATTGTTGGGAGAGCCCAGGCCAAATGACAGGACTTAAATTATAGCTCAACCTCTGCCAGCCCTGTAACGTTGGGCAAGTGGCTTAACCTCTGTAAGCCTAGTTCCCTTATCTACAAAACAGTGATAACAGTGCCACTTATCTCACAGGGTGGCTGTGCATATCAAGTGAAATGAGACATTCAAAACTATCAGGATAGGGCCTGGTACGCAGTAAACCAAAAACAAACCAAACTCACTCAGATCCACCCACAGAGACCCCTCCTTGGGTTTCCGAGGCTGTATCACTACAGAAGTAGATAGATTGCCCAACCTTCATCACTAAATGTTAGCTGTGGTTGTGAAGTGGGGACAAGAAGAGAAGTTAGTCTTTACCAATGAGGCACTGTCACTGCAATTAGAGATTTCCTGATCTCTGCTTTGCTCCTCTTCCTCCATGATCATTCCCTGGTCATGTTCTACAGGCATTTGAGCCCTGTGTTATCCCACGTGCTCATCCTTTCTCATCTACCTCAACATCTCACAGACTTTCAGAAATGGAAAGGACCCCGTCAGTTTAGTCCCAAACTGCCAATTCTGTTTTATTCCCAAGAGGAGTCCTGGTGGCACAGTGGTTGAGCACTAGGTTGCTAACTGAAAGGTCAGTGGTTTGAACCCAGCAGCCGCTCCACGGGAGAAAGACATGGCAGCCCACTTCCACAAAGATCTTTTGTTGTTGTTAGGTGCCGCCAAATCTGTTCTGACTCATGGTGACCCCGTGAATAGGCATACATCATTTTATTGTGCTCCACTGGACTTCAGTCATTACTATTCAGGGCATCAAAGCTATTCTTGAGATGGTCTCTAAATTCAGGTGGGACATATTCAAGACTGTACTTGGGTTCCCATGGACTTATTTTCATTGTCTTGAGCTTCACTCTGAACTTGCATATGAGCAATGGGTGGTCTATTCCACAGCCGACCCCTGGCCTTGTTCTGACTGATGCTGTTGAGCTTCTCCATCCTCTCTTTCCACAGACGTAACTGATGTGATTGCTGTGTATCCCACCTGGTGGGGACCACCTGTGTAGTTGTCATTGTTGTCGTTCAAAAAAATAAAAAGGGTATTTCTAATGAATAGTTGACCTTGCAGAATTCCATCAGTGATCTCTGGCATCGTTTTTATTGTCAAGACCTTATTTTCCCAGTACCTATGAATGCTTCTTTGTTTCCAACTTTCACATCCTAATTACCAGTAATTATCAATGCATCTTTTTTCTTTTTTTAGAAGTGAAAGCAAAAGGTTTTATTGAAATGTAGAGAGATTCGTGAATTGGGAGACACAGTAACACCAGGCAGGTACTGTAGTGTTCCAAACTACAAGAAGAGAGTGAGGTCTTTATCAGGTGGAATAAACAAAGGATTATGTGATTGCATGTTTGATCCATTTTAGACTGCAGGAGTTGGTAAAAATCTTCAATTCTTCATCTTTGGCATTAACAGTTGGTGCATAAATTTGAGTAATATTCTTATGAACTGCTCTTGTAGGTGTATGGATACTATCCTATCAATGACAGAGCTGTACTTCAAGGTAGATCTTGAAATGTAAACATTTACAGCCTCAGAAACCCTATGGGGCACTTCTACTCTGTCCCATGGGGTCGTTATGAGTTGGAATCACCTTGCCCACAATGGGTTTGTTTTTTGGTTTTGGTATGCTCTTACATGCAAGATAGCCAGAGCAGTTCCTAATCTGGGCAGTGCGAAGTTGGAGGGGGTGTGGAGAGGTTATACTTTTCTTCTTCGTTCTCTCCAGTCACAACCTTCAAAGTTGGTCCCACCTGGTGGAACCCCTGAGACTATGGCCCCTAGATGCCCTTCAGGTCTGGAATTGAACTCACTCTTGTGGTTTCTAGCTAAACAAAAGATAGGCATATGAGCTGAACATTTACATTAGGTAGATACACTCCTTGGAGAGAACAATCATGGGAGAAAGAAGGGCTGTGTATGCACAGGGTGACAGCTCAGGGGGCAGGAGTGCATGGAGAGAAGGACACAGGGAAGAGGTAACTATGGGGAGGAAGTGGGAGGGGAGCTGTTGCATTGTGGGAAATTGCAGTCACTGTCATGAGACAAAATGTATATAAGCTGCTGTATGGAAAGTGAATTTGCTCTGTAAACTTTCACCCAAATCACAATAAAAATTAAAAAAAAAAAAAAAGACAACCCATTTAAAAAAAAAAAGTCGGTCCCAAGCATCCTTTCTCTGAAGATGTCTCTCCCCATCTACTCCTGTGAACTCCTACAGCTTTTGCGGCCCCACAGCCATTCAGAGAGCTTTGTGTTGACTGGATGTAGTTCTCTGTATGACGATCTCGCCATAAACTGCTCGTTTCCTTGGCCTTTGTTTCTTTCTACGGCCATGGCCTTAATTGTCATGTCTCAAAACCGTCCACTCTAGACAGCAAAGGCCTGATGTTCCATTTATGGTAGATGTTGACTGCTAGCCTTGCACCCCTCTCTTTCTCTCTCTCTTTTGTGATTCAGATGAATGTTTACAGAGCAAATGCATTTCCCATAGAGCAGTTCATACACATTTTGTTTCATGACATTGACTGCAGTCCCCACAGTGTAACAGCTCTCTTCCCACTTCCTCTCCATGGTTACCTCTTCCCTGTGTCCTTCTTTCCTCCGCATTCCTGCCCCCTGAGCGGTCTCCCTGTGTAAACCCTGCCCTTCTATTCTCCCATGACTGATCATTCTAAGGAATGTGTCTTCCTGGTGTAAATGTTCACCCCACATGCCTGTCTATTGTTTGGCTGGAAGCCATGGGATAGCCTTGTCTCTTATACCAACACTATAAAGTGCCCCTTACTAGTTTGGAACATCAAGTCTAAGGTCAATCACCATGGGTTCAAAAAACAAAAACAAAACACACTGCTATCAGATAGGATCCGACTCATAGCGACCCCTCCTCGGGTTTCCAAGGCAGTATCACTAGGGAAGTAGAACGCCCAACCTTCCTTCAGAGGAGTGACTGGTGGGTTTGCACTGCCAGGCTTCTGGTTAGCAGTCAAATGCCTTAGGCAGTAGGCCACCAGAGCTCCTAAACTCAGCTCTGTGACTCTGGACAAGTTACTTTGATTTTCTGGGCCTCAATTTCTCTCTACATAAAATGGGAACAAGAAAGTATCTACCCCGAGTCTATAGGTAATGCAAATGGTTAGCACACTCCGCTGCTAACTAATAGGTTGGTGGTTCGAGTTCACCTGGAGGCACCTTTGAAGAAAGGTCTTGTGATCTAGTTCTGGAAAAGTCAGCCACTGAAAACCCTGCAGTTCTCCTTTGCCACACACACGGAAGTCACCATGAGTCACCATGGACTGGCAGCAACTGGTTTTCTACCTCTCTGGGCTTCTGGAAGGATTAGCTGATCGACTATGTAACAAGTTCCCCACGTACTATATTAGCACATTAATATGGGCATATGGGGGCTCTGGTGGCATAGTGCCTTGGAACCCAAGGAGGGGTCACTGTGAGTCGAATCAACTCGATGGCAGTGAGTTTGGTTTTTTGGTACAGGCTCAGAATTCTCTAGAAAGCAAAGAGGCCTCCTTGACATTGCTCAAGTCCTGTTCATGTTACCTCCAAAATATCTGTTGACTGTAGTCATTTAACCCTTAACCATGGTGGTATAGTGGTTAAAGCACTCAGCTGCTACCTAAAAGGTCCTAAGTTCCAATCTACCAGTTGCTCCATGGGAGAAAGGCATGGCAGTCTGCTCCCATAAAGATGACAGCCTTGGAAACCCTGTGGGGCAGTTCCACTCTGTCCTCTAGGGGCGCAGTGCATCAGAGTCAACTCCACAGCAGTGGGTGTGGTTTGGGCTTTGCTTCTGTAAAGATTGACAGCCTTGGAGACCCTGTGGGGCAGTTCCACTCTGTCCTCTAGGGGCGCTGTGAGTCAGAATCGACTCCACGGCAGTGGGTATGGT